TCTCCCTTCATCCATTTTTCTTGAGCCTCAACACGTTCACCACCCTTTAGGCCGGCATGATAAGCAATGGCTGCCACTCCCTGGCGTGAAACTCCGTAAGCAACCCTCTCCACATTTTCTCGAGTACGACAGTAAATAATGCCACAACCACGTTTGGCAGCGGGTGTCTCGCGAAACTCTTCTTCGTCACCCAAACAATGCAGAGCAAAATTGGCCAAATGTTGGAAATCATCTTCGATGGAATTTTTAAAAACGACATCATAAAAGAGATTCTTACGAAAACTGGGTGTGGAAAATTTTGCTACAGGTTGATTTAAACTCAACTGCTTAAATATGTCCTCTTGAACATGTTTCGAGGCTGTGGCCGTTAAAGCCATCCACAGAATTTTGGGATATTTCCTACGCAATTCACCTAATTTCAAATAGTCTGGACGAAAATCATGACCCCACTGGGAAACACAATGAGCTTCATCTACCGCCACATAAGCAATTTTATCATATTTCACTAATTGTGCCAGTAATTCCTGGAATCCCTTGGTAGCCGCCTGTTCGGGAGTGATATACAGGAAACGTATGCTTGGCTTAATGGCCTTTAAATCATTCACCACACGATCTCTTTCCTTTTGAGACATTTTTGAATTCAACGAATCGGCCTGTATCTTCCATTTGGCCAAATGATCAATTTGATCCTTAATCAAAGCTAACAGGGGTGAAAAAACTATAGTAATTTGACCCTCGGCTATAAGGCCTGGCAGTTGAAAGCACAGAGACTTGCCGGAGCCCGTAGGCATACTCACATAAATATCACGTTTTTCTGTAATACAAAATAATTACAACAATTAATACAACAAACACTTGTTAAAAGTTATTTCGTTAATTGTGTTAACCACCACTGACTTTTTACTGCACATTTGATGGCTTTTTTCTGCAACTCTGACTTGAATTCTTTGAAGCCAAAATATTTCTCCAAATTTTCATACATCTTCACCTCTACTTCATCTTTGTCGGCACTCATTTTGTTGTTTTTTTTATTATTTTTAATAACTATTTTTGTTTAATATCTTTTTAATTTATTAGTATTGCATTATTATTACTTATTTTTTAATTAAAATAAAAAATTGTTTTATTTTTGTGTGTTTATTCTTTCCTCGTTTTGTTTTTCCGTATGCGAAAAAAAACACACACACATCTGTCAAAAAGGCGCCAACAGCTGTGCAAAGACCAGCATCGACAAACATTAACGATGACGGCGTTAGAAATTAATCACTTCGGCGGCGGATTAATATCAAGTTCAAGCCGGCTAAGTTTTCAGTCGTTATTTTGAATTTTTTCACCGATATTGAATAAAGAGGCCACCGAGTAATTAAAAAAAGGGATTTTAAACACTTTGGATACTTGGTATATCAGATGAAAGGTTCGGAGACCTTTTGCAGAACGTCCTTCTTAAAATTTTAAATATCAAGGTTTTATTCTTCTAGGTTGAATCGAGATTTGGATCCTGTAGATAATTGGGATCTTCAAAAACATTGTTTCTAAAAACATGCCTCGACTTTCCATATAAACTAACCTAATGAAATATTTTTATACCCTCCACCACCATCAGTGGTGATAGAGGGTATATATAACTTTGTCATTCCGTGTGTAACACCAAGAAATATTCATCTGAGACCCAACAAAGTATATATATTCTGGGTCCTTATCAAATTCTGAGTCGATTTAGCTATGTCCGTCTGTCTGTCCGTCTGTCTGCCTAAAACACGCTCACGTTAAAACTAAGCAAAGGAAGTACACCAAATTCACCGAAAATATTCATTATTGAAAATGAGCAAAATCGGTTCATACCGGGAAAAGTTATGAATCAAAATTTAAAACAACCTCGAAAAAAATAAGCATTTTTTACACATTCGGATGCAATTTTCTCGAAAACTATGCAAGATAAATTCATGAAAATCACCATGAATAAGTTTCTACACGAGATCTTGATCTTTGCTGAAAATTGCTAGAATCGGTCCACAATTTCATATACCTCCCATACAAAAGTACATATTCCCGGAAGGTTTTATTCTTCTAGGTTGAATCGAGATTTGGATCCTGTAGATAATTGGGATCTTCAAAAACATTGTTTCTAAAAACATGCCTCGACTTTCCATATAAACTAACCTAATGAAATATTTTTATACCCTCCACCACCATCAGTGGTGATAGAGGGTATATATAAGTTTGTCATTCCGTTTGTAACACTGAGAAATATTCATCTGAGACCCAACAAAGTATATATATTCTTGGGCCTTATGAAATTCTGAGTCGATTTAGCTATGTCCGTCTGTCCGTCCGTCCGTCTGTCTGTCTGTCTGTATAAAACATTCTCACGTTAACACGAAGCAATAAAAATTATCGAAATTCACCCAAAATATTTATTATTGTCCTAGGCAGTTTGGTATTGAAAATGAGCAAAATCGGTTTACACCGGGAAAAGTTATGAATCAAAATTTGAAACAACCTCGAAAAAAATAAGCATTTTTTACACATTCTGATGTAATTTTCTCGAAAACTATGAAAGATAATTCCATGAAAATCAGCATACATTCGTTTCTACATAAGAGCTTGACTCCTGCTGAAAATTGCCAGAATCGGTCCACAATTTCATATACCTCCCATACAAAAGTACATATTCCCGGAAAATGGGATTTTTGTTAATAACTTCCGTCACAATGTCGAAATCTTTACAAAATTTTACAAATTAAAATCTTATGTCAATAGAATTCATTCAGAGAAAAAATTTTCTGGATCGGTCCATAATTGGACATAGCTCCCATACAAGGTCCCCTCTCGAAAATCACTTAAACGCGCATAACGCATTACTTAATTAAGATATCCATATGAAATATGGTACAAGTATTGCTTATCTGTACAGAAATATTACTGAGAAATTTTTTTCCGATCGGTCCATAATTGGTCATAGCTCCCATACAAGGTCCCCTCCCGAAACTCACTTAAACGCACATAACTCATTACAAAATAAAGATATCCATATAAAATTTGGTAGAAGTATTGCCCGTATGCACAAAAATATTACTGTGAAATTTTTTTCCGATAGGTCTATAATTGGTCATAGCTCCTATACAAGGTCCCCTCCTGAAAATCACTTAAAACCACATAACTCATTAGTAAATGAAGACATCCATATAAAATTTGGTACAAGTATTGCTCTTATATACAGAAATATTACTATGAAAGTTTTCTTGGATCGGTCCATAATTGGTCATAGCTCCCATACAAGGTCCCCTCCCAAAAATCACTTAAACGCGCATAGCTCATTTCTAAAGTAAGATATCTATATAAAATTTGGTACAAGTACTGTTATATGAGTGAGAAATATTACTGAAAATTTTTTTTCCGATCGGTCCATAACTGGTCGTGGCTCCCATACAAGGTCCCCTCCCGAAAATCACTTAAAACCACATAACTCATTAGTTAATGAAGATATTCATATACAATTTGACACAAGTATTGCTCTTATATACACAAATATTATAATGAAAATTTTTTTGATCGGTCTATAATTGGTCATAGCTCCCATACAAAGTCCCATCCCGAAAATCACTTAAACGCGCATAACTCATTACTGAATTAAGATATCCATATAAAATGCACAGAAATATTACTGTGAAATTATTTTCCTATCAGTCCATAATTGATCATAGCTCCCATACAAGGTCGCTTTCAGAAAAACATAAACCCATAAAATATGTGGCATAAATATTATCTTTGTACACTTAAATGTTATTTTAAATTTTTTTCATGGTCCATTCTTGGTCGTACCTCTCATACAAGGTTCCCTCCCGAAAATCACTTAAACGCACATAGCTCATTACCAAATATTGATATCCATACATTTAGCAAAAATATACATAAATTAACCTATAAAATTGTTGTACGATCGGTCCATATTTGGTCATAGCTCTCATACTAGGTCCCCTCCAGAAAATCACTTAAATGCACAATATTCATTACCAAATAATGATATAGATACAGAATTTCGAAATTTTGTCTTTATATACATAATTGGTCCTTTTACGAAAATCCCTTAAACGCACATTACTCTTTACCAAATAAAGCTATTGATACAAAATTTGGCATAAATATTAGTTTTGTATACAAAAATTCTATTTCCAGATTTTTTCACGATCGGTTCATAACATGGGTGCGGTCGGTCCCATAAAAGTTTCCTTTCAGAAAATCAAATAAACACTCATAACTTATTACGAAATTACGATATAGATACAAAATTTGACTGAAATATAGCTTTTATGTACAGAAATTTAGCTTAAAGAATTTTTTACGATCGGTCTATAATTGGTCATATCTCCCATACTAGGTCCTGCCCCTAAAAGCACTTTAACCGTATTTAACTAGTTGCATTATCAATTTGTGTAGAACAAAATTATATATATATGTATTTTGAAAATCCTTAAATCTGTCACACACATGCATACATGCAAATTACTTAATATTGCTAAGCGCTATAAAAATATAAAGAAAGTGGCGTTTGTAATGTTCAATAAATCTTGGAATTGTAATAGATTTAAGCTGTTTAAATCTTGGAATTTTTCTATTTAAGACATGAGAAAACTTATTTGTACAAATATTTGATCAATTAGAAAAGTATTAATATAAAAGTAGCTGGTGGAGGGTATTTAAGATTCGGCTCAGCCGAATATAGCACTCTAACTTGTTTTTTCTAAAACACTCTCTGTCCTACTCTTATGAGAACAATTTCATAGCGATTCCCACTAATAAAAATACGATCATGAAGCTTTTAATCAATTTATAAACAAAAAATATATATTATAGTAGTACATAAAAATAATTGTGGACAAGTCAAAGGTGATTGATATAAATAAATTTTTTGTTTATACTACTATTTTTTTTCGTTTATTGCTACAATCACAAATTGTGTGAAAATGAATGCTGCCTGGCAATATCAGTTTGTTGGAAAATATCGATCTGTGAAAACGTTGAGAGCGAAAAATTATTTATAAATAATATATTTAATATTAATAACTAAATCTGAAATTAAAAAAAAAAATGAAACTGGATAATCTATCTAAACATGGGATACTAACCGCAAGTTTAATTATAATATTTTTAACGGTGATGACAATTTGGCGGCAAATAAAATACATGAAATTAATTATTTTAACATACATGTTTAAGGGCAAGTGGAAATTTTTATAACATAGTAACAGATAATGGTACCACATTCGGGTTATGCAGAATTTTTATATTAACTCTATTAATAATTTTTGACATTTATAACCCAAGGTAACATCAGATTTTATTTGATAATATAATCGATATGATTACAAGACTGCCAGTTACTACTAACTAATACTACTAACTAACTAACTAACTAAAACTAACTAATAACTAACCGACGAACAACGAACGAAACGAACGAACGACGCTACGAACGAACGAACGAACAAAACGTAACGAACGAACGAACGAACGAACGAACGGATAAGAACGAACGAACGAACGAGAAGAAAACGACGAAACAACGAACGAACTAACTAACTACTAACTAACTAACTAACTAACTAACTAACTAACTAACTAACTACTACTAACTACTAACTAACTAACTAACTAACTAACTAACTACTAACTAACTAACTAACTAACTAACTAACTACTACTAACTAACTAACTACCTAACTACTAACTCTAACTAACTAACTAACTAACTAAACTAACTAACTACTAACTAACTAACTACTAACTAACTAACTAACTAACTAACTAACTAACTAACTACTACTACAACTACTACTAACTAACTAACTAACTACTAACTAACTAACTAACTAACTAACTAACTAACTAACTAACTAACTAACTAACTACTACTAACTAACTAACTAACTAACCTAACTACTAACTAACTAAACTAACTACTAACTACTAACTAACTAACTAACTAACTAACTAACTAACTAACTAAACTAACTAACTAACTAACTAACTAACTAACTAACTAACTAACTAACTAACTAACTAACTAACTAACTAACTAACTACTAACTAACTAACTACTAACTAACTAACTAACTAACTAACTAACTACTAACTAACTAACTACTAACAACTAACTAACTAACTAACTAACTAACGACTAACTAACTAACTAACTAACTAACTATAACTAACTACTACTACTACTAACTAACTAACTAACTACTAACTAACTAACTAACTAACTAACTAACTAACTAACTAACTAACTACTAACTAACTAACTAACTAACTAACTACTACTAACTAACTAACTAACTAACTACTAACTAACTAACTAACTACTAACTAACTAACTACTAACTAACTAACTACTACTAACTAACTAACTAACTAACTAACTACTACTAACTACTAACTAACTAACTAACTACTAACTAACTAACTAACTAACTAACTAACTAACACTACTACTACTAACTAACTAACTAACTAACTAACTAACTACTACTAAACTAACTAACTACTAACTACTAACTAACTAACTAACTAACTAATAACTAACGTAAACTAAACTACTAACTAACTAACTAACTACCTAACTAACTAAACTAAACTAACTAACTAACTACCTAAAACTAACGTTTTTTTTTTTTTTTTTTTAACTTTTTTTAATTTAATATTTATTTTAAGATGAATTCATTTACAATTTTCTTAGATAATAATCCCGCGAAGCCATTAGGCTTATCTGCAGGATGTAGTAATTATAATACATATATTTAATAGTAATTTTAATAATACATTCGCTTTCATTGCGAATTTAAAAAGTGAAGTTTTAATAATTTTTTTCTTCTGTGTTCGTTCTGCACATTTAATAAATTTGTAGGCAGTTTGTTTAATAGAGTTGGCAATACGACATCTAAGCTGTTTTTTCCATAGTTGTTTTGGAAACGTTCTACCATATATCTTCCTTCTGCTCGACTCCTGGTGTTATATGCATGGTTGATTGGAGTGAGGTATCTGTGATCGTTATAAAATTCGTTGATGATTGTGCTATGGTATATATTTTTCACATTCAAAACTTTCAGTTTTCCGGCTAGGCTTGTTGTGTTGACGTTTGAGTTGATGTTGTTGTTTGTTTGAGTTGAGTTGATGTTGTTGTTTGTTTGAGTTGAGTTGATGTTGTTGTTTGTAGTGTTGCGCAAGTTCGTGTTAATATTTGTAGGTATGGTGTTGGCATTTTGGTTTGATATGTTGACGTTTGATGTTGTAAGGTTGTTGTTTGTTGTACCATCATCTTCTACGTTAGTGTTATTGGAGATGTTGATATTTGTAGATGTGCTATTGTTTTCGTTGTAGTTATGTTCGAAGATAGAGTAGTGTGGTGTTGAATTGTTGTTAGTGGTATTGTCGTTTGGAATGACATTTGTTATCAGTGTTGCGTTGTTGTTGCGGTATATCATGGAGTATTGGAGTTGTTGTTTATGTAGCTGATTTTTATGTAGTATTCTTAGAATTTGGTTTTGGGTTTGTTGCAAACTTCTGCAATACGTAGAACTTCCCCAAGCAGTGATACCATGCCTTAGGTAGGATTCAGCTAAAGAAAAATAAGCCTGTTTCAGAACATTAAATGTAGCACAGTTGCTTAGGTGAAAAAGATTGTACGCAGATTTTCTAAGTTTTTTGCGAAGCTCTTGAGTGTGCGATAGCCATTTAAAGTTGTCGTCTACAAGAACACCTAGATACTTATATGTTTTAACGACTTCGATAACCGTCTTACATGTATCTGATGTATCAGGGATTTGGTTGTGTAGGCATTGGTTGCTGTGGAATTTTATTCGAATTTCGTGGTTAGAAAGATGGGGCGGTTTAATGTGCATCAACTTTGTTTTCGATGCGTTAATAACGAGACCATTATCATGGCTCCATTTTGTCACGATATCTAATTCTTCTTGCATTATCCTGTTTGCATCTTCTATCTTTTTATTTGACACAATGATGGCGGTGTCATCTGCATATGCAAAGGCAGTGCTATTCTTGAGTATGTTTATCATATCGTTAGCATACAACAAGTATAAAATTGGACCGAGTTTTGAGCCCTGTGGAACACCGTTTTCGTTTAAGGAAGTTTCATTGCTTAAACAGTTTGAAATTCTCACCTTGTATGTTCTCAGATTTAAGTAATTTTTAAACCAATTTAAACAATTGCCTCTTATGCCATTTTTTTCCAAAATATCTAGAAGATTACTGTGCGAGAGCGTGTCGAAGGCTTTACTAAAATCAATAAACATCGCTAAACAATGGAAATTTTCACTGAGATGTTTGTTTATATAATGTGCAAAATTTCCAAGTAATTTTTTTATATTTTTGCCTTTTTGAAAGCCATATTGGTTCCGATTGATAATTTTGTATTTCTTTAAAAAATTGTTAAGTCTTTGAACAATTATCTCTTCAAGTATTTTTTCAATAACTGACAATATAGCAATTGGCCTGTAATTGTTGAAATCATTTTTTATGCCGCTTTTGAAAATGGGTCGAATTATTGACGTTTTCAATAAATCTGGTATGGTTGCACTATCAATACTCGAGTTTACAAATTTCGTAATAATTGGGGTTAAGGTGGAAGCATTAGCTTTTATATCTATCGGTCTAATACCATCTATACCTGCTCCTTTGTTTACGTTTATGTTATTTAATATATTAAAGATTTCCTCCTCATTTGTAGGTAGGAAAAACATTGAGTTAGTTATTGTTGGCTTGTTGTATTGTAGTGTATTTATGTGGCATTTGTGTAATATTTTTTGTACATTGTTACTGAAATTTGTCGCGAATTTATTTGCAATTGTCACAATGTTCTCGCCTTTAAAGTTATTTGTTATTGTATTATCAATTTTACTGACTGTTTTACCCGTGATCTCGTTTATTAATTGCCACGTTTTTCTCATATCGTTTCGGTTTTCAATGAATTTTGTTTTATAATAATTGTTTTTTGCGTAAATTAATTTTTTATTTAAAAGATTTCTGAATTTTTTATATTCACTTTCATAGTTTTTATTTTTTCTATTATTTCGCCATTTGTTAAAAAGTTTATCCCGAATATTACAACAATTTATTAAATATTTATTTAACCAAGGGTTCACTTTTCTTTGATTATTTTTCTCTTGTTTGGTCTTTGATTTGTTATAAATATTGTTAAATTCATCGTATATTTTATTAAATAATTCATTGGTGTTTAAGTTTTCTTGACTTATCAGGTTCCAGTTGGTTTCGTTAATATACTTATTAACTTTATATTTATTTATGTTGGCACGCTGATAATCTGTTATTGTACCACTCTGGCTTACGTTTATTTCTTTTTCTTTTGTTTCGTAAACACAACAGAAAAGAGCGTAGTGGTCAGAGATGCTTGTTCTCACTATAGATGCTTGTGTTTCTGTTCTTTTGTTGTTGCGAATATGAATGTGGTCAATGCATGTACTTGTTTTTTTACTTAAGTCTTCTCTTGTACTCTCATTTATGATGCATTGTAATCCATTTGATGAAAGCATATCTTTATATTTAGTTGTTGTTAAATTTTGTGTAGAAATATCAATATTTATGTCACCAATTACAATAACATCTTGCTTGTTTTTTATTTTGTTTATTATTTTGTCGAGTTCTATTATGAATTCTTGTACACTGGTTTTTGGCGGTCTGTATATGCTGATGAGGGAGTATGTTTTATTATTATTATTAACATCAATTTGAATTGTTTCAAAAGAGATTGTTGTTAAAGAAATGTTCGTGTGTGTGATTGACTCTCTGACGTATAATGCTATTCCCCCTCCTCTGCCGTCTCTATTTAAGAAGTGAGAGTTGAAACCATTTATATTATAAATATTATTTTCGCTATTTGTTATGTTTGTTTCGACTAGAACAATAAAATTTATGCTGTTTATTATATTATGTATAGATGCTAAGAATGGTGTGAAGTTTAGACGAAGTGAGCGGATATTCATATAAATTATTGTAGTGGGATAACTTAGTAATTTTTTATCTATTTGATTAAAGTTTTCTATTATTTTTGTTGTGATCATATTTTCTTTATTTTTAGTGGTATACAATTTAAAAAGACAATAATTTAAATAACGATTAAATAGTTGAAGTTATCAACTCGATATCAGCGGTATTGTTTATAAGGATTGGATGTGAGATATCATTCTTTTTCGCAAATATGTGTCCATTTCTCACCCATACAAATTTCCAGTTTGACTCTTTGGCCTTTGTTTTTACTTGCCAAAGTAGATGCCTGTTGTGTTGGGTTAATTGATCGTTAATGTATATAAAGTTTTTGTTGTTTTCATCTCCTGTTAGTACTTTAGACTCTATCCTGTGACGTTTTATTTTACCCATTAATTCCTTCTTTTTGTTGAGTGTAGTAAACTCTACAATTATTTTTTTTGATTTTTTGATGAGATAGGAATTGCTTATTTCGATGTCGGTTAGTTCAACGTTAAGAGAATGTTGCAATCGTTTTTACGGCATCGTTTGGGGGAATGTTCTCATTGGGAAAATTTTTAATTTCAATGCTCTTATTTATTAGTTGTTGTTGCAAATCGTTTATTTGTGTTCTCATCATTTGCATTTCTTTTTCTTTTTCCTTATTGCTCTCGCCAAGCGCAGTTACTTGAGTTGTAAGGTCACTAACTAACTAACTACTAACTAACTACTAACTAACTAACTAACTAACTAACTACTAACTAACTAACTAACTAACTAACTAACTAACTAACTAACTAACTAACTAACTAACTAACTACTAACTAACTAACTAACTAAACTAACTAACTAACTACTAACTAACTAACTAACTAACTAACTAACTAACTAACTAACTAACTAACTAACTACAACTAACTAACTAACTAACTAACTACTAACTAACTAACCTAACTACTAACTAACTACTAACTACTAACTAACTAACTAACTAACTAACTAACTAACTAACTAACTAACTAACTAACTAACTAACTAACTAACTAACTAACTAACTAACTAACTAACTAACTAACTAACTAACTAACTAACTAACTAACTAACTAACTACTAACTAACTAACTACTAACTAACTAACTAACTAACTAACTAACACTAACTAACTAACTAACTACTAACTAACTAACTAACTAACTACTAACTAACTAACTAACTAACTAACTAACTAACTAACTAACTAACTAACTAACTAACTAACTAACTAACTAACTAACTAACTAACTAACTAACTAACTAACTAACTAACTAACTAACTAACTAACTAACTAACTAACTAACTAACTAACTAACTAACTAACTAACTAACTAACTAACTAACTAACTAACTAACTTCAACTAACTAACTAACTAACTACTAACTAACTAACTAACTAACTAACTAACTAACTAACTAACTAAGACTAACTAACTAACTAACTAACTAATAACTAACTAACTAACTACTAACTACTACTAACTAACTAACTAACTAACTAACTAACTAACTACTAACTACTAACTAACTACTACTAACTAACTAACTAACTAACTACTAACTACTAACTAACTACTAACTAACTACTAACTAACTACTAACTACTAACTAACTAACTAACTAACTAACGAACACTAACAACGAACTAACTAACTAAACTAACTAAACTAATAACTAACTAACTAACTAACAAACAACTAACTAACTAACTAACTAACTAAAAAACTAACTAACTAACTAACTAACTAACTAAATAACTAACTAACTAACTAACTAACTAACTAACTAACTAACTAAACTAACTAACTAACTAACTAACTAACAACTAACTAACTAACTAAAAACTAACTAAAACTAACTAACTAACTAACTAACTAACTAACTAACTAACTAACTAACTAACTAATAACTAACTAACTAACTAACTAACTAACTAACTAACTAACTAACTAACTAACTAACTAACTAACTAACTAACTAACTAACTAACTAACTAACTAACTAACTAACTAACTAACTAACTAACTAACTAACTAACTAACTAACTAACTAACTACTAACTAACTAACTAACTAACTAAGTAACTAACTAACTAACTAACTAACTAACTAACTAACTAACTAACTAACTAACTAACTAACTAACTAACTAACTAACTAACTAACTAACTAACTAACTAACTAACTAACTAACTACTAACGAACTAACAATTCCTACTGTGACAGGGTCAGATCTTTAAAGGTCTAATAAAGACTCAAAATTGATACTTTTATGAATCTATGGTCTACATTTCGATGTAGTAGTTAAAAAAGCAGACAATTGATTCTTATAAAATATTTATTGAATGCATCGATTAAAACAAACATTATTTAATTAAATTCGTTAAATAATTCTGATGACACGATCAAATAAAGATCATATTAAAACAGTATATATTATCTTTCTGTGTGTGTTTTTCTAGATTTCATGAATATGAACAAAATCCCCCGCCTTCGCTGGATGTACCAATTGCTGTTATAGTCATATCATTGATTATGATCATTATAACTGGTCTAATGATTTTGGGAATTATTAAGGTAATTATTAAATTAATTTAAAGTAATTTTATTAGAAAAATAGTCTCTATACTATAAATGTGTTTGATTAATTTTTTTTATTGTTTTTTATTTTGTCTTTTTAGCAACGTCTTTTATTCATAGCTCCCTGGTTGATTCTTTTCAGTTTTGGTATAGTTGGCGAAATTATCTTCTTTGTACATCAGTTAATAAGTTATTTTTCTCTTGAACTATTATTATATATCTTATGTATAATTGGTAAGTAATGGGTATTACTTTTTCAAATATACTCTATAATAGCAAATACCAATTTGTGTTCAATTACAGGCATACAAATATTGATATTCTCACCAATTGCCTTTTTATTCCACGATATACGCTGTAAAAATCGAGAAAAACATTTTTTTGAGCTGAATCTAAAAGAAGAAGTTCAAACAATTAATTCTGATCGAGTTGCAACAAAAAATTTGTAATTTAATCTAAGTCCATGTATACTAATTTAAGAGAGAAAAAGAAATAAATTAAATCATCTTAAAGATTTAGTAATATTCGTCTGTCTGGATATAAAGAACAATTTGCGAGCTTGACATACATATATTCGAGAGTTTTCCTAATTATGTATATGAAGCGAGAGTGTTATATTCGGCTAAGCCGAATCTTATATAAACACTATCACCCCATGTGTCATAATACAAACCTATTAGGATAAATCTGAGCAAAAACCAATCATGGATCGATTCTCATTTGGTAGAGATGGTTTCGATTCTATAAAACTAGTTTAAATCAAATTTCTTCGTTATAATGGTATTTTTAAGACCGAAGTCCGTCAAAATCTGCCATACCGCACAATATAACTTTTGGCTGCATACAACTGGTGCAAATTATTACGATAGTTCCATAATCATCACAATTATGAGGTTTAGAGCAGCATTCCGGGGAGACATAGTGGACGGATATTTCCCATTTTTAATATCAAACAAAGCTTTCAACATGAAGAGAGATGGACAGAAATAATAAAAATCCAGAACATATATGTTTTTGGGTCTACGACCAATATTTCGTTCATCTTTTTGATCGTGAGTATAAAAAATTGTTCTATTAATATCAGAAATATGATAAAAACTAGATACATATATCGAATGGTATATTCTATAGATAGGAAAAAGGTATATCAAAAGAAAGATATTTCGGAGATCTTTCATATGATGTCCAAGAAAGTACTATATATTCGAGATATATCCTAAAATATGGTAAATAGTTGGGACTTTGGGGATTTTACGATAGCAAGACGAGTAGTCTACTCAGTATAAATAAGTCCGTGATTAGTATGATGGTACGTATTCTTAGAGGACACATAGACTTACCGACACAACTATATATAGTGGACCAATGGATTTAGTCGAATGTGTAGAAGACTGGAACTGGAACTTTCTGTCAGTGCTAAACTTTCGAAGGAATTAGATCGAAATATTTTGCTAAAATTCAAAGAAACTACTTTCAGAAAATCGAGTTTCGAAAGATTGCAAGATAATTAATTTTATAGATCGTTATTTAGGAGTTTTCCAACAGAATGTGTTTCATAAAAAGGAACTCACAATAGGACCATTAGCAGCCTATAGGTATTTCTTTAGATCTACTCCTTAAACATGTTGCGAGTTTCGATCCTAAATAATTAGCTCTGAGGCCTTTAACAGAATATCATAAACTTACCAATTGACCCACTTTTAGAATGTTAGAATTACCAATCTAAACTAAAATATTTTATTTTTTGCAGGGTATAAAAATTGCAAACATTTACGAATATATTTTATTAAAATATTTAAAAATTATTAAAAAAAATTATTTTGGTTCTTAAATATTAGTTACGTTTTAAAGTGTATTTTGTATAAAATTAAATAAAATAATTTTTTGTACATTTTTTCATAATTTTTTCAATTTAACATCAATAAAAATAAAAAGGATAGTGTTAGTAAAAATATTTGTTTAACTTTTAAATAAAAAATCGAAAACTAAACTAAAAGCTGTGCACACGTTCTAAACATTTCAAATTTACTTTTTTTATATAAAAATTTCTTTGACTAATTTTAATTGAAAACATTTAAACTGTTAAGTACGGGAACACAGCTAATGTAGATTAATAAAAGTGTATGTTAAAATAAAAAATGTATGCAACATGCTAATTGTTGTTACTTTTCTGTACACTGTAAATATTACAGCAAAATGTTAAGTTCAAAACGAAGTTAAGAGTAGAAATACAATCTTGCGGCTGCGGAGACGGTTATTTTTTTACCGCAGTTTTTTTTGGAAAACGCTTGCGCAGGTTTTTATTTCTACTCGAAGTTTGACAATTTAGCAAAGACAGCAACCGGTTGACTAAACAGCTAGCTAAGGCACACAACCACTTTAACAGGGTTGTTTAGTTAATAAATTAAAAATAAACATGGACGGCATGGAATGAACGGTGTATACGAATTTGTTGTTTTTGTTGTAAATGGAGTTGCCACAGTATTTTAATTATAAAAAACTGTTAAATTTTAAACTATTCTAAAGAACCATTTAAACCAAAACGTAAAGTGGCTAAAATATCCAAAATATAAATGAGAGCTGTAACTAAAGACACGGAGGCAGCACCCAATACCAAATCCAAACGCTGCATATTAGGATGCCAGTAATTTAAATCCTTGGTAGAAGACCAATCGCGGAACAAACAGGCAGTGGCGGCCACAAATAATATGAAAGCCACAATTGACCACAAAGCTGAAGTACGCCAAGGCGCTCTAGTTAAGTAAACAAAAAGATCAATTAATGTCGTTTCTTACAAAACTAATAAAATTAAAAAAAAACTTACAAATCACTAAATAAAGCCATAATTAAATAAATGGTGGTATAAATTAACAAAGAGCCAAAGGTCACATAACATAAGGCCACCACGCGTGGCGTTATAAATGTGCGTATGGAGGAATGTGTAGCTGGTTCATCGATCAGTCCAATACAGCAAATGATGAGACACTACACCAACATAAATTAACACAATAATAGTTTTAATTAAAACAATTATAAAACAATTGCCAACGTTTAACTGACTCACCAATTCTAACAGTTTTAAGGCCACCAATGTATAAGTGGCCGTTTTACTGGGACCCGTTGTATAGGAATTTTCTTCGGCCGGTGACATTTCAACACGTGATATTTCTGTAAATTACCAAATAATAAATATTTAGTTCTAATTTTTCAAAATATAAAAAATCTGAAATTTGTATGCTTTTCATTAAAACTACCTATAGAACTTAAAAAACTCATGCTGTTTCCCCAAAAAATCGCTAGAAAGTATAAAAGTAATCTTTATTATGTCATTTTACTTGTTTTTTCTAAATTAGTTTCAATTACTTTTGAAAGATCATTAATTTTTCATTAAATTATTTTCATCACAAAGTACTTTATTGAGAAATGTTCATAAATTACGTAAAAAAAATATATTTGTACAACAATGAAACTTGTGCAATCATGCGTTGAAAGTGGCTCTAGTTGGCCTCTATTAAAAATTACATAAAATTAGTAAAGAACTAGAATTTGGTGCCAAGGTTAGCTTGTTAAAGTTATTCCAAGTGACATACTTTTTGAAGAAAATAATGAAAAAGATATGAATAATCATTTAAGAGTCTTAAAAAGACGACTTCAAAGATTTAATTCCAACAGATTTTCATAGGTAGTCTTAAACATAGATCAACCTATAGTCCGGAATATAAATCAATATGTAAATAAGTCTATTGTTTTAACTGCAGATACATTTTTGCAATAGATCGACCTATCTATAGTTATGGACTATAGAACGGTCTATAGTCTGGACTATAGAACAGTCTATAGTCTGGACTATAGAACAGTCTATAGTCTGGACTATAGAACAGTCTATAGTCTGGACTATAGAACAGTCTATAGTCTGGACTATAGAACAGTCTATAGTCTGGACTATAGAACAGACTATAGTCTGGACTATAGAACAGTCTATAGTCTGGTCTATAGAACAGTCTATAGTCTGGTCTATAGAACAGTCTATAGTCTGGTCTATAGAACAGTCTATAGTCTGGTCTATAGAACAGTCTATAGTCTGGACTATAGAACAGTCTATAGTCTGGACTATAGAACAGTCTATAGTTTGGACTATAGAGCAGTCTATAGTCTGGACTATAGAACAGTCTATAGTCTGGACTATAGAACAGTCTATAGTCTGGACTATAGAACAGTCTATAGTCTGGACTATAGAACAGTCTATATTCTGGACTATAGAACAGTCTATAGTCTGGACTATAGAACAGTCTATAGTCTGGACTATAGAACAGTCTATATTCTGGACTATAGAACAGTCTATAGTCTGGACTATAGAACAGTCTATAGTCTGGACTATAGAACAGTCTATAGTCTGGACTATAGAACAGTCTATAGTCTGGACTATAGAACAGTCTATAGTCTGGACTATAGAACAGTCTATAGTCTGGACTATAGAACAGTCTATAGTCTGGACTACAGAACAGTCTATATTCTGGACTATAGAACAGTCTATAGTCTGGACTATAGAACAGTCTATAGTCTGGACTATAGAACAGTCTATAGTCTGGACTATAGAACAGTCTATAGTCTGGACTATAGAACAGTCTATAGTCTGGACTATAGAACAGTCTATAGTCTGGACTATAGAACAGTCTATAGTCTGGACTATAGAACAGTCTATAGTCTGGACTATAGAACAGTCTATAGTCTGGACTACAGAACAGTCTATATTCTGGACTATAGAACAGTCTATAGTCTGGACTATAGAACAGTCTATAGTCTGGACTATAGAACAGTCTATAGTCTGGACTATAGAACAGTCTATAGTCTGGACTATAGAACAGTCTATAGTCTGGGTTATAGAACAGTCTATAGTCTGGACTATAGAATAGTCTATAGTCTGGACTATAAAATAGTCTATAGTCTGCACTATAGAATATTCTATAGTCTGCACTATAGAATATTCTATAGTCTGGACTATAGAATTGTCTATAGTCTGGACTATAGAATTGTCTATAGTCTGGACTATAGAATAGTTTATAGTCTGGACTATAGAATAGTTTATAGTCTGGACTATAGAATAGTCTATAGTCTATAGTAGAATAGTCTATAGTCTGGACTATAGAATAGTCTATAGTCTGGACTATAGAATATTCTATAGTGTGGACTATAGAATAGTCTATAGTCTGGACTATAGAATATTCTATAGTCTGGACTATAGAATAGTCTATAGTCTGGACTATAGAATAGTCTATAGTCTGGACTATAGAATAGTCTATAGTCTGGACTATAGAATAGTCTATAGTCTGGACTATAGAATAGTCTATAGTCTGGAACATAGAATAGTCTATAGTCTGGGACATAGAATAGTCTATAGTCTGGGACATAGAATAGTCTATAGTCTGGACTATAGAATAGTCTATAGTCTGGACTATAGAATAGTCTATAGTCTGGACTATAGAACAGTCCATAGTCTGGACTATAGAACAGACTATAGTCTGGACTATAGAACAGACTATAGTCTGGACTATAGAACAGTCTATAGTCTGGACTATAGAACAGACTATAGTCTGGACTATAGAACAGACTATAGTCTGGACTATAGAACAGTCTATAGTCTGGTCTATAGAACAGTCTATAGTCTGGTCTATAGAACAGTCTATAGTCTGGTCTATAGAACAGTCTATAGTCTGGTCTATAGAACAGTCTATAGTCTGGACTATAGAACAGTCTATAGTCTGGACTATAGATCAGTTTATAGTCTGGACTATAAATCAGTCTATAGACTAGACTATTGATCAATCTATAGCCTTGACTATTGATTAATATATAGTCTATATCTATAGTTTTGACTAGAGACCAGTCATGGTTTTGAATAAATTTAAATTTTCTTTCAGTTAAAGCCTCCTCAAACACACTGGACAGGAAGCTGTGGAAAATTGCATTCATTGGCAATTATTTCTTAGTTATTTATTATTTCTAGCATCTTTACAACTTAATAATAATTTTTCATTTGCATGCATGAGCCAAAAATAAACTCTCTTGCTAATAGAAATTATAAACAAACATTTATGGTATGAATATTATTTAGCGCCAATTTATTTGTTTTCTTTTTTTTTTTTCGTTTTTTTTAATATTCTTGAAACGTGTTTGCAAAAATTTCTATTTAAAGAATTTCTCTTTAGAAAACCTATAGTAATTTTTGTTGTTTTCTTTTTCACATGCAATCAAGTTAGCAAAACAGAATAGATATTTGTTTGTGCAGACAGGTTTCTGTTGCAAACTGCCCAACCTCCTATCAACAACAACCATAGCAATGGTAGTTAGTAAAAACATTATATAGAGAATAGAGTCAATAACCGTATAAAGTTCTAAGGTTTCATCGGCTTAAAAGAAAATTATACTTTATAACGAATAGTTATGCTGGACTTAAGCTTAAGCATGAGGAACATATTAAAGAGGCCAAGTAAGAAAATTTCGTAGAAAGTGGGTGGTGATTGGCGATTATTAAATACTCTATAGGATTACGGCTGTGATTAAAAATACCAAACAGGAATGGTATTTTCTAAATCAAAATGCCTTGTCCGAAAAACCTGTACTTCTGAATGACACGATTTTAGTTCAAGAGCGAAAATTAGCAATGAATGTTGTTGTTGTACAATAGGATTCAACTAATGGGAATTGGTACTCGGGTAATCACTACACAGTATAAAATGACGAAAATACTCTGCTTTTATGATATATACATAGATGCTGAAAGTGGTTCTCTTTTATTATCTGGACTATCTCAAATAAGGGCCTGTTTGTCAGCTGGTTTACTTTTGAATATTTTAAATGTTTAATTTTCTCCTCGATCTACACGATCCACGTTTTTTCGGTGCTAATTAAATGAATTAATGTTTGTGTAACTAATCTAATAGGAAATTTAAAATGTTCAAGCACTTACAGATAGGCATCATCTTGGTATGATTTCAAGCAATTATACAACAATTTTTTAACCTTATACCAAGTAGTAATTTAGACAGGTGTGGTCAGTGGTAGCATTTATGTGATTTACATAAATAATTAATACCTTTGAGGCCACTTGTTAGCAAGTGCATACCAGGTACACTTTACATTTCAATACACAACAGAAGAAGTAATAAGAGTATTAGACGTTACCATAAATATTTTTATACTCTAGTTTAGTTTACTAATTTAAATATTCGCTCTCTCTCTCTCTCTTTCGCACTCTTTTACTATGTTATTCTCTGTTTTTACCAAACTGTCATTGACCATGTTTTAATAAAAACCAGTTGCAGTGAAGTTTGTTTACATTTTTTTTGTAGTCTTTTTCTACTATTTACTATTTGTATTTTGTTTAGAACTTGTTTTTCTTTTGGGTTTTTTGTTTTGCTCCATGGCGTTTCGTCATTAGAAATGACACAATAACAGAAGAAAATAAAAACAAATCACCCACCAAAAAGTAATGACGTAAAAAAAAGGTCAAAACTCAACTGTACAACAAATACTTAGTTAGTTAGTAGAGGGATTGTATTAGCCATTCTCTCATTTCTCTGCTTATTCATAATATAGGGAGGAAAAATGCCAGAGTTAAAAGTATAATTTTCCCTCACTTTTTGATTGAAATTTTATATCAAAGTAGCCGCGGCGCAATGTTCATGTTGTTTGTATATGAATAATAACAAATTATTTATTCACATGCTTTACGGCGAAGCAAGAAAGAGGCCAAGCACAAAGGTGTAGAGTTCACGTACACATTTTGATGTGTTTATATAATGCAATTACAGTGTTGGACAAAAGTGTTTGGAGTTCAGAATTTACACAAACATGAAAATTTATTTCGAGCGAATCCATACAAAATCAAGTAACTGTTAAATTTGGAAATTTGAAGCGAGTTGTGAGAGAGTTTTGTTTGAAATGAAGTTTGACAGTAAACTAGACCTTAGAATAGTCAATAGACTATACATAGTCCATACTAAGTAGAATATTCCATACAGTAGTCCATACAATAATTAATAGACTAGTTCATTGAGTACTATATATAGTAGTCCATAGATTAGCCCTTAGACTAGTTCATAGAATAGTCTATAGATAATTTCATACATAAACTACTCGGTAGAGTAGTCTCTAAACTATCATAATTCAGAATTTTGGTTTAGTACCGACGGCTTATTTATTCCACTTTTTATATGGAGTTTGTGGACTAGTTCGTAATAGTGCATAAACTAGTCCATTGACCACATGATGTGGTAGTTGTCCACAGAAAACTTAGTAGACTCTTCCATACAATAGTTCCCTAACTACTCTATATAATAGTTCATAGACTAGTCTATCGATTACTTGATGTAATAGTCCATAGATTAGTATCATCAATAGACTAGTCCACATAATAGTCCTTAGACTAGTCCATTGACTACAAGATGTGGTAGTTGTCCACAGAAAACTCAGTAGACTCTTCCATACAATAGTTCCCTAACTACTCTA